AAATTACTTATATAAACGATCGTAGAAATATCTCATTTTTAACTCGGCTGGTTAATTGTATATTTCAGAAAAAAAGACTCAATTCATTTTGGTGTTTGGAAAATTTTACAGAATCAGAATCAGTTTATTCTCTCAAACCATACAACATGGTACATGAGGAACATAAAGTATACACAATGTCTGTAAAGTCGTCAGAGGTACATTTAGTATAAATATACACACATATATTTATATATATACATATATAAATGTTTTACAACTGCATGTAGAGAGGATGTACATATAGTCCATGTAGAAATAAAGTATATGCAAAAAGAAAACACCAGGAGGACAGCTAAGAAGGACAGACAGTCTCAAATATTTTTGAAATAAATGTACATATACTCACCGTCAATAGAAACGCAACACCCTAATTTTAGGGGTGAAAATTATATACGGGATTTAACTATGTACCAAAAAAGTTAGGACATCTTTTACTTTGCTAAATCAGTTATTTAACGGTTGAATGATTTTCATTCCATTACCGGAAGTTGATTTTTAGCTCCCTGAACAGAAATCAAAAATTAGCATTTTTGATAAAATTATTGACAATTTTTTGGGCTTTCAAGGTTTTGTACCTGTTAATTATAAGTCTTGTACTAAAAGTCCGGAAAAAATATCCTTCTTTCTCTTCTGGATGTGATGGCAGTATTTTCTCAAAGTAACTGAAAGCACGTATTTTCATTGCTGATGTTGGAAATTTTCAAATTAAATAAAAGGGAGAGCTACAGATGCAAATACACACTACATGACGATTTTTCGGGCTCATGTGTTTCAAAAGCATGCATAACATTTCCTTGACCGGAAGTCCAAGTGTTACTACACTACGCCAAGTTAGAGAAAATTCGACCTCAGTATATGAAAAACAGGCATTTAAAAAAGGACAAGATTATTTATTTCGCTCAGATTAAGACATTGATAAACTTAATGTATCGTAGAATTCGGGCTGCTTATGTTGTACCTGGCGGACTAGCACGTTTTAATTGAATGGTCGGAAGGGGGGATGTTTTAGAGTTATGTGTTACTTTATAAGGTTTAAAGATAAGATTAAGAATGAATACATAAATGTAAAAAGTAAATTTACAAAACAATGATACTTCACTTAAACTTTAAATGTTATCTTTAGTGTAGTAACACTTGGACTTCCGGTCAAGGAAATGTTATGCATGCTTTTGAAACACATGAGCCCGAAAAATCGTCATGTAGTGTGTATTTGCATCTGTAGCTCTCCCTTTTATTTAATTTGAAAATTTCCAACATCAGCAATGAAAATACGTGCTTTCAGTTACTTTGAGAAAATACTGGCATCACATCCAGAAGAGAAAGAAGGATATTTTTTCCGGACTTTTAGTACAAGACTTATAATTAACAGGTACAAAACCTTGAAAGCCCAAAAAATTGTCAATAATTTTATCAAAAATGCTAATTTTTGATTTCTGTTCAGGGAGCTAAAATCAACTTCCGGTAATGGAATGAAAATCATTCAACCGTTAAATAACTGATTTGGCAAAGTAAAAGATGTCCTAACTTTTTTGGCACATAGTAATATCCCGTATATAATTTTCATACCTAAAATTAGGGTGTTGCGTTTCTATTGACGGTTAGTATAGTTTTTGCAAAGATTGAATATTTGAATTGGCCATGAGTTCATAAAACTTGACAACATTTGGTCTGGTGCAGTAACTTTTGTGTAAATTTTTTTTTTCTTATCTCTGAAAAAGCTGTACACTCTAAAATGTAGTGGTATTCATCACCTATCTTTCAAAGTAAACATACTCTTTCATTTAATGGGGTGCCACACCACCTCCCTGTTTCTACTGGTAGATGATGATTTGTGGTACGCATTTTCATCAATAACTTTCTTTGTTTTAGGTGTTAATTTTTAATATAGCTTTCAAATCCGAAATTGGTTTTAAAAATTCTGTAGATCTGGCCTTTGGAAGAACTATTTATGTCATTTGACCATTTCTGAATGAACTGGTCTTTTAAATTCTGATTTACAATAGCACTTAGCCATTTAGCATTGACCACACCTTGCCCATTCCATATAAATGAAAGTCCACAATTATTTAGAATCTTTTGAATACAATCAATCCATTGACATTTAATACCATCATTACTTAATTGGTTATACATATACTTGTACACAATATTGACAATTTTATCTTCTGTACATGTAAACATCTTTGACCAGTATGTAGTCTTTCTTGTAAAAACATTGATGTACAAAGGGAATCTTCCAGTTTCTGCGTAAATCATGTAATTTGGTGTAGAACTTTTCAAATTAAATATAGTTTTTAAGAATTTCAAATGGACACGTTCAAAAATATCCATATTTTCATAGCCCCATATCTCACATCCGTAGAGTAAAATGGGTGTGACTACTTTATCAAACAGGTCAAGCTGACATTCGATCGGTAAATTAAATTGTCTAATTTTTCTTATCACCCCGTACATTGCTTTCTGTGCTTGCTCACAAAGATGTTTCTTCGCTTTACAGTATGAACCTGTTCTTGATAATACAATTCCTAGATATTTGAATTCTTTTACATTTTCAATATTTTGGGTATTGTAATAAAATTTCCTCTTTAACATTGCCCCTTTGGAGAAAACCAAGACTTTTGTCTTATCAACATTCACATTAAGTTTCCATTGAGTACAATAAGTATGGAATTCATTCAATGCCTTTTGTAAATCATCAGCAGATTCTGCCAATATAACAGTGTCATCAGCATAAAATAAAATCGAAAGTTTTAAATGTGGTAATAATTCATCTTCAGTTTCTTTACTAATAGTTTGTAATCCGACTATGTCTTTTTCTACCAAAGAGTGCCTGTGACACTATTATAACACATTTTCAAATAATTATTAGTTGACAATCATATTAACTCCGCACAAACGTATCTTATCTATTAACGCTTTATGTATAATTATGCAATTAGGCAAGAACGATTTAACTTTAAAATCTTAGGGAAATAGCTTCAGTTCTTTTTGTTGTTATTCGAGAAATATATAAATCGAAATATATTCATTTGAAATGAGAGTATATCGCTAAAAATCACATTAAAAGTATCAATTTTTCAGACTTCTAGACTTATGCCAAAGTGTTGTTGTTTAAACCACAAGGAAACTTCAAATAATCAATCTCCACTGCTCAATATTCAGCAAAGAAAGTGTCCAAAATATCATTGACTCAATCTAAATTTTCAACAATTAGAATCAAATCGGTTGCAAACAATTTAACATTTCAAAAAGTACTTTCACGATTTTGAAAGCCTATCCATATGCATGCAACGAAAGCACAAGATATTCAAAGCTGAACAAAAATCTTGAGAAGCGTATATTTTCATTTCAATAAATTCTTAATATTATGTATCATTTATCATTTACTTTATTACATCGATGAAGACCTCTGATGAGCAAATGCACTATAATCTCTATTTACTTTTCTCAATTATTTATTTCTATTGCTTTAAAAGCAGTTTGATATTAAAAAGACCCAACCACGTGCTGATACCCCAGGCCCCTTTTTTCCAAAACCTTACTTTTAGTATAGAAAATGTTAATTGAAAGGTTGGTTGAACCCCCCTCCCCCACTGTATATTACAGAAAATGTATATAATAGAAGTGTAGTATTGAATGCTTAAAAATTGGTACTGAAAGAACTTGACACTGTAAAAAGTTGGCCACTACCCCACCCCCCCCCCCACCCCCTCCACACACACACACACAAACACACACACACATGAAATAGGATTTTTTTACTTTTCCTTTTTCTTTTTGTTCTTGTTTTTTTTGTAATATTTGTTATTTATTTATTTTTTTTTTTTTTCAAATTTTTCAGGTAAGTGAATTTTTTTCTCTCTGGCTGCCCCCCACTTTCAAAAACGATGCAACGTGGCTGTACCCTGGATCTTTATATCACGTGATAATGCGCTTTGTTTCTGCAGAATAGGCTGCAAGGCGCTTTGCAAAATGTAGAAAGAAAATTATCCTTGTATCATTCGCAGCTGTAACGTATTCAAAACAATTTTTACTAGTTGAACAATTTTTCATTTTTTTAACCATGCACTATGTACCACGTCATTACTATCCACTAAATTATAATTTCCTTTTATATCTATAAAGTACCTTTTGTAAAGTCTTTATATAGTAAAAAATTATCTTGAGGAGAAAAGACAATGATATTGAAACATTCTAACAACGATTAATATTTAGTTTAAAGCAAATTTTAATTATGATTTTCTTTCTGTGAAGAATTATTTTACTGAACTATTACAAAAATAACCTCTTATTTCCCATGTGCACTATCTAACACAACCACAATAAGATCGGTCAGAGCAGCGGCGGCTGATAATAATGGGTCTTTACGTTTACCATAATGGGCCTCCATATCCGTAACCATGCAGACAAAAATAATCTTTTTCTTGTTTAATTCCATAAAACCTTTCCAGTTCGAATTGACAATTGTAACAAGCATCAATTTGTGCACATCAATGAGGAATAAGTGTGATTCAAACAGGCTTAAATACCCCCGCAATCATCTTTTGCTATGTTAAAAATGCAACTTCCGTTAAAAAAGAGTGCTCGCATTCTTAAACGCAACAGTAGAAAATTTATTAAAATTCAAAACATGCAAGCATGACAGTTTTTGTTCATTTTAATATCCACCATGACTTGCGGTTCAAACACCTTGCATGGTATTGGATGAAATTGAAGGTATCGACGGCAGGAAATATAGCGTAATTTCACTATAATAGTGAGATACCACTATTATAGCGGAATTTACGTTTCCCCCCAACCTGGTATACAGAGATTAGGTGACATTTCCGACTGTATAATAAGTAAGTTAATTCTTACGTTGAGTAGCGGGGAACCTGTGAATTCAGGGCTGGAATGTTTGAATTATATATCGATAAAATAAGTTAAATACGAAAATACGAAAAGTATTTAAAACGTACCATTTGTTTCTACTTTATAGCACTCTATAAATAAAGCTCGACCGCTATTGTAAGCTCCTTTCTTGCAGGCATCGAACATTTGTGAGATATTTCTTATGTTGTTGAAAACAGTTACTTTTATTTCAACAATGTCATATTGCTTGCTGTCGTTGTTCTTGTAATTAAAAATTGCTGTGCAATTGGAATTGCATCCAGTCTTTCCTGAAAAAAATGTCAATACAAATGAATTAATTATAGAGATGTTATTATAAAAAGAAATAATGTTACAGTATGATATTATATAAATATTGCATGTAGTTGAGTGTAACATTGAAAATTTTCACCCCAAGAAAACCACTGTCAACCGAGGCGCAGCCGAGGTTGACAATGGTTTTCGAGGGGTGAAAATTTTCAATGTTACACTCAACTACATGCTACATTTATTATATTATACTGAATGTTTTATACAAATAAATATTACAGTGAACCGTGCGCGCATAAATTCCGCGCAATCGCTATTTTTTGTAATACCACCCGTCGTCAAGCAATGTTGACTGTTGCTATGCAGGGGGCGTGGCTTCATTATTCAGCGGGTAGCAGTGTTTATTATCAAATGTTTCTCGACGAATGAGATTCAAGTAATTTACATGAAAGTATAATATTTTCTTTTACAACTTTGGGGTATAATTCCTCTTTATCAAAACAATTTGGTATTTGGCCCTCCCGTCGTCAACAGCAAATTAATTACGAATATTTAATATAATCAATTAATTTAAAAGATAGAACAAAAGAAATGGAATATTAGAATTGATCGACGTGCGCCAATTCATATCAGTATTTGAGTAGACATTTCCAAGTTCATTTCAAATCAATTTTGTAAAGCCAACGTTTTTGCAAATATAGATCAAGATTAGTTCCCATATTCCAAAAGATGATTTAGCTTTTGAAGAAAATGTGATAAAGTGTTCATGGAATGAGGTTTTTGTTTTAAAAAATCTTTTTTTTTTTTGTTCTTGGGGTAAATGACATTCTTTTTTCCATCCTCGACTAAGATGAAAAAAATTGAAATTCTGAACTTACATGACTTACATGCCTGTACAGAATATCATTAGTAACCTCTCTAATTATGATTTGGCTACTGTATACAATTTTAGAGTAATTCTGAGAACCAAGAGTATGTAGAAAACGTCATTTGGACCACCCTATTGAAACCTTTATGTGAAACTGAAAATTCCCAAACTAATGCTCAGGGCACAAGTAACAATCTTTTATAGAATAACACGGTATTTTGGTAAAAATGTAGGAGGAGTTCCGGAAACCAGATTTTTGTTACCTTCCTTCGGGTTAAAATTAAAAATCCAAAACTATATCGCCTCTACAGGACAAAATCTATTGTATTTCAGAAGGTCAATTGGTTATTGCTTATATGAAATGAGATTTTGAGGACGACGAGTATGGCGATGTACGGAATGGGGTATCAACAATCAAGTTATTAAAAAACCTTTCATCTCGCTTTTGGAAATCTTATTTGTAGCTTTACGAGTGGGAAGTAAAGCTACGCAGAGCGAGATGAATTAGTCTAATTTTAATTAGACTAAAAACAATTATACTGTAACTTTCCTTTGAAAGTGTGGGTATAAAACATTAAAGGCAAAAGCAACAAGTGCTTTAAAAACTAAACTAACTAATTCATAGTTTTAGATTCTTACATCATAATTTTGAATGTTAAAAAATCAAGCGAAATGAGCGGGGGAGAAAAAGTAATTGTTTGGATGGAAAAGGGAATAAAAAATGGTAATATTGTACCTGTAAACTTTCTTATACTGCTTCGTAAATCTTCTAACGATCTATTACACGCGCTTCCTTCCGATACATAAGTAAGGACTTCTCTTGGACAGACCCTTCTGCAAATATTAACAAACTGAAATAACACTTGCAGTGTTTGAAAAAAAGCGCCCAAATACCATTACACATCTTTTTTTTAGATTTGGAAGTACAACTTAGAGCTAGTATTGATTAATAACTCCGTCAGAATGCTTGATTTTTTTAAATAAAATAATTGATTTATCAAAATTAAGAAGAAGATTAATAATATCTATTATTTTTTTTACCTTATAGTTTCTTTTCTATCCTGACCTAGTGCAAATGAGATAGTAAGTACTGCGATCTTTAAACCTTTAAAAGATAAGGATAATTATAAAAATATAATTTTCCATGCGTGAAGTGTTGTACCAATACTTATCAGTTTTGTTTTTTGATTTTTGTCTTATTCAAAACAATAGAAGAGAGTTTTACAGCTGTGTGTTTCAAAACATATGCTACACTCTTTATCAAATCCATCCAACTAAATACCTTAACAAGGATAGTTTGTTGACATTTAGTGTAATAATGTAAACAAAGCATTTACTATATTTTAAATAAAAATAAGCTGCAGTAAACTTACGCTATTATTTATAATTAACAATAGTAAACTTTCAGTTACATGTAACTACATGTACATGTACCTGTATACTAAACTATGGTTACTATTTTAATTCATTTTTGAAAGTTGCTCATTACCCTGAGCGAAATAATATTCATCACACAATTATTAATGAAGCTTGCCGTTACGTAGTAAAAATAATCGACGATGTTATACATAGTACACATTTCATAAAACCTTTTATATTTTTAACAAGGCAAACATTAATACAGGTGCCTTTTCATTCTGTGGACTTACCAAACACAGTTCTTAATAACATTCCTAGGACTTAAAGCGTTGTTTCCTAAAAATGTACCTCGGGCACATATATTATAATATATAAGTATTTAATGTCAATTTATCACCGCAGATTTATATACGTCCTTGTCGCATCAAATATCAACTGTAGAACACTAAAGATGCAGTTTTGTACATGAAGTGTTTATTATTCAATTTTGTTTTTGAGCGGATATGATCCTGACAGTTAATTTCCTTTGTCAGATACATGTAGGCTTTGATACGTAAGGCGACCAGATGTAACTTAAATCAGATCCCGAATTTTCTTGATTTTTGGCTTATTGTGTATCTTTATGTAATGAACTCTATACATGTTATTCAAACCACTTCTTACAGGCGTTACCATGCAGTTTTTTTGTTAAATAATTCTCTTTCGGGTGTGACCGGTCGGCAGGGGATGCTCACTCCTCCATGGCACCTGATCCCACCTCTGATGTTTTGGGGGTCCGTGTTTGCTCTGCTCTTATTTTGTATTGTTTTATGGACTTTGAGATTGAATACTGTTCGTTATCTCCATATCCTTCTCTCCCTTCCTGCAGGTGAAACTTTCCGTACTTTATTTCTTAACATTTGCATATATCGGGTTAAAATTTCATATGTGATTGTCACTTTATGAGCAATAGAGCAACTTTGCATTTCCTTTAGCTTCAACCATATTAATTTACTTTTCAAAGCATGCCTAAGTCGAAGGCTTAAGAGAGCTTTTCTGATCACATTTTGTCCGGTTTCTGTCTGTCTCTCTATTTGTACCTCTATGTGCCTGTTTGTTTGCCCGTAAACTTCTTCATTTTTGACTTCATCTCAAAGAACCAAATGGACCACTTCAGACTAACTTGCCATTAAGTATCGTCCGAGGAACGAAAGTTATTTCTTTTCCAACCGAAGGACAACTCCCTCTTCCCAGATAAGATATTTACACATAAGAAAAAAATTAATTGCATTTAAAAAAATCTTTTTCTCAAGAACCACTGAGCTAAGAGAGATGAAACTCAAGTAGTGCAGATCAATATTTATTCAACCCATGACTCCCAGGGTAAAAGATTAATTATAATGGATGAATTTTTTTTTTTACATATGGATATATAAGAAAAATCATCTAATCTCTTATTCTCAAAAACTACAATGTCTTGAGTTATCATATACATATTGAAACATCTTAAGGTAGTTTAAAGTCAAATTAGTGTAAAATCCTGACCCCGGGGTGAGGTTTGGCCATTATAGACGATCAAAGTTTTACATAAGAATGCAAAAGAAAATCTTTTTTAGAAAATCTTCTTAGGAAAAAAACATCGTCAGGATTGGTCATATTTATATGGAAGCATCCTCGGATAGAGTAGATTAAAGTTTTGGTTAGGAGAAAACTAAATAAAATTTTCTCAAACATAGAAAAAATAAGATTTGTCAAGTTTACTGTTAACCATTTTTTATTCGCTAGCGTGAAATATCAGCTACGTGTACATGTAGTTTTGTGACATTTAAAATTGCTAATATTTGTGGTTGTGAAAATTTATTTCTTATCAAATCGCTGTATTTTCCATTTTTAATGGGAATCGGATTGCACATGAAATTGCTGGTAAGGCATTACAATTGCTCTGTCATCTCCAAGTGCATTAATTTACAATTCAACAAAATTGAATCAAAATTATCCGAGAATGACAAATCATTGCTTTGCCTATCCCTTGGAACAAAATATTAAAGTTTCCATTGAAAAATTTGCAAGCAATCTTTTGCCTATCCTAAGACTGTTGATCGAGATTTGAAAAAAAAAATTCAACATTGCATGAGGAAGTTTGACTTAAAATCAATTTGACTAAACATAATAAAATGTAATCAAATACTTCAAAACTTAACACTCAAAACTTCTTCTTTACTCAATGATCATACCTATATCATAATTCAATGATCATAATAACAAAATAATCTGAATTCGTCTCGAAAATCAGACAGGCATGCAATTTTCACAAATAAAATATCTATAAAAAGTTTTATATGTACATGTCAGTCGAGAAAAAGCAAACTTACAATGCAACATAAGTGGTACTAACAAATAAGTTCCAATATTCATATCTCGCGATAAATGGCAAACTTGTAAAATAATTTTGATTAACTAGTTCGTAAAAATTTACCTTTTGAATAAGACTTGACACTAAAATCAAGCTAAACTGAATCCCTGTTACCAATGATACGTTAAGGAAAGTAAACAGGAAGGCCGACTGAAGGACACACAGATGTAAATAAGCAGATGGAAAAATGGATCCCGAACGATATGTGTACAGAAAAAGTTAGCATAACTTTTAAGCTCAGGTAAGCTACAACTGATATAAAAATAAGAAATATATCAAACCATTAAAATTTTTTTCGAAGGTAAAAGAGTCATGTAAATCTTCGGAAGTTTTAGATACAGCATAGTCACTATGTGGAACAAATCTAGTCTGAGGATGGGTTGAATTAACGTATCGCCAAACTCCGCCCATCGGGCTATGGGAGATAACTCCTATGATGCTCCGACATCATCAACATAGCGTGTAACTCAGTATAAGTCGACGCTGGTTGACTTGTCCGAAGTTCCTGATGATTTTGCTGCAAAATATTTGCCACACGAACCCACTTTGAGACAAAACGCGCAAAATGAGGGCAAATGCTTTTACAAAAGCTTTCATAAATTTCATTCACTTGAAATATTTAAAAAAATGATTCCATAAATATCCCTTTCTCGGAAAGTTTATCGAAGCATGATGAAGTCCGAGTTCCCTCATACTGTAAACATCCATGTCGACGAAGACAGAAGCACATTGCGACTTTAATTCAATTTGTAATGTAATCATTTTATTAAATCAGCAATAATATAAAAAAAACCATACGACATTGTCAAGACATGCTTTTAGTTCCTATCTATAAGGGGACGATCATTTGATTCTGAAGGGGGTTGTCTGGCTGATAAAGGAGTTGAATCAGTTTGGAAATAAATAATCTTTCCTCAACTGGAAGGGAAAAAATAATATGCCCCTACTACCTCCACAATAATCTTGGGTTGTCGACGGTACGTGTCCCCCCCCCCCTCTTTTTTTTTTTTTTTTTTTTTTTGCTTGTTAGACTTTTTCAGTGAATCGGAGAATAAATAATCTGTCATTGGGAATAAATAGTCCGTCCTTCACCGACATGACAATAAATAATCTGACTCTGACTTGGAAAAAATAATTGCAAGCCCATCTCCCCTTTCCGAATCAAATGGCCGTTCTATAAATCTCTCAGGCTCCGATAATATCGAATCTGGAAAATCTTTCTTCTTTACCTTTAAGTTCTGGTGGAAAATGTGCACACTTTTTAGCAATAATAGTTATTAGTGCAGGAAGATTTTGAATAATTTTGGTCAGATATATATTATGTCTACAAATCTAATATATAAAGTTCGTGTTTTTCTGGGACAACCCTCATATAACAAAGTCGGACTAATTCGTTACAGATATTTATTATAATACCGGTAATGAAAATGTATGTCTTTATATAAAAATGAAGTTATTAAATAATTTCTATAATTTGCCAATATACATGATGGTGTTCTTATAAATTAAATAATGCTAGTAATAGGTGTGGGGGGGGGGGGGGGTAATTAAAAGTTAATTTTTAGCGATAAAATAGAATCATTTTTAATGGGTAAATTAAATCAAATTTAATTTTTTTTGAAAAAATGAAAAAAGTTTGTAAACTCAATCCTGCATATGCAATAATAACTGGTTATAAAAACTGGTAACTTTCAGACACAAGTCAACACCGTGCGATAAAATTAATGTGAAATTAAACTCAAAAAGCGTATAGTTCTCTTTTAAAATGTGTATGTATTTTGACAATTATTTTGAGGGCAAAACATGCAAGTACGTAGAAGTGTTATGGACTGATTAAGCATAATTATCTATCATATATAAATACTATTATTCATATTATTTTTATATTTTTAACGCGAAGACAGTCTGTCAAATGAATCTCTATACCGTGTATATGGATTTATTCCGTTGTTGTTTTTTTTCGTGTGTATTAAATTAAACTAAGAAAGTATACATGTATAAACATAACAAACAAGTAAACGAGTTTTATTTCATTTCCTGACCAAAATATTTAGAAGTCCCAAAACGTGTAAACCCAAGTCCCGAAATGTGTTGTCAGGTCACGAAACTTCGGCGTCCCAAAGCATGGCGGTCCCGAAACATCCATAATTCCCTTTCGGGATACCTGCCATCGGTATTGCACGTTCCCCAACGGCATATAGACTTATTTGTTCAATTTGTTTATTGCCGACCACCCACTGAATTTGTATGTCGGAGCATATGGCGGAGCAAGTTTTTACTGAACGCGCAGAATAAACGAAATTATTTCATTGGTTGAAAATTTGTTGTGATTGACAGCTGGCGATACGTTAATTCCCTGTTCATCTACTCAGATGTGTATATTCTTCTTCATTTGACATCCCAGAGGCTCCTGTTACGGCGTGGTCATAAACATCCATAGTGTCATCTTCTATTTTTTCATTAAGATGATTGTAAATATCATTTGTTTCTGATTTTACTTGATGTGTATTGGAATATTCTGGATCCCCTTTGATAATAGGTTTCACATGTGAAATTTTCTGAAATGAATGGAATAAAAGAATTCTCAAAATGTTACCCGTTATTACAAACAATGCAAGTTAAAACAATTTCTGATGAGATATTGTATTTCAAATTGATGAAAATACACCCTGATATAGTAATTTAATCATGCCGCACAACATAACGTATGAATGTACATCACTTAAGGTAAAGTTCCAGAAAATTTTCCCTCCCCCCCCCCCTTCCCCAATTTAATCTACCGTTTGTTGCAGGTTCTTTGTATCCTTTTGAATATTAGTTGGCAAATCTTTTTCATAGCTGATGTTGTTCACAAATTTGGCTTCAGTGTTTCTGGAATGATAGTTTTGAGGAACTATAGAAACTATAGTGGATAAATCCAGGTATATATTTATATATTTTTAGAAGCATTATGAAGTATAAAAAGAATGGTATAAAAACAATATCCAATTCCATAACGAAAACATTGGTAGAAGTAGCTATTATATGTTCTTAACATACACCGTATAACCTGTAGTTATACATACACCGTACAACCTGTACTTATACTGCACTAAGGAATCAAACGCATTGTTTACCGATTTTGCTCCCTTCTCCTACTCCGTATATGTATTACGTAGACAGCTGCAAGACATGTCAGAACACCCAACACGAATCCTCCAATAACAGCAGCAACATTGTGTGTAACGCTGGAATCTCCATGTTCTAAAATTAACAATAAAAGGTCAGTTGTTCTTAAATCTAATTTTGATCAGTAAGTTAGGTTATGATATTATATTGAATCAAATGAGACTGAGAAATGATGGAAGTCAAGATTATAAATTGTATTGCTGTTGTTCTGGCTGAAGGTATAGATTGCTATGAACCACTTTTGCCCTATCCTTCCAAGAGAGAAAATAACGTTTTTTTGTTTGTTTTTTTTACAATATAATTATTTCCAACAATCATTGTTAATGAAACTATAAGAATATTTTATCTTGAATACCTCCTTTTCAATATAAAATATCAATATAAATTATGTACCTATTCAATCCCAGTGATAATTACTCAAACAAATTTAGTGTCTCAATTTCATTGCCTTTTCTGATTTCCTTTTATATCCCGCTTTCTTTTCTGATTTATACATTTCTTTTTTCTTTCCAAACTTATGTACTCTTTTACCCTTTTTATGTTTTTTTTTCTATTAGTCTATTTGTAGTATATTTTGAACAAATTAAATTATTACGGGAACAGATTCCACCTAACGTAGTTATACACTTTTAAAACAAAACTTCTAAGTGTTCACTTTCATAAATCAATTTATTTAAAACGACTTTATAGTATGGTATGATATTTTCAAATTATGACAACAAATCAGTCCTCTCAACAATTATAGAAAGAAAATTAAATATCATCGATGAAAACCAATGTTCCGTACCAAAGCTTAAAAACAATAAATCTGTACTTTGCGGCACGTGTGTTGTGTAATTAGCATCTTTTTGTGATCATTATCAAATTTTAAAAACTAGTTTCACTAAAAAACATAGAGCATTGGCAAAAAGACCATTGAAATATCACATTGGAATGTTGATTTCTGGACCATCCTTGCACCATGTTTTACTCACTTTTATTTTAGTGTTTGTTGTCCTTGATATTACTTTTAAAAAATAACAACCAGTATCAAAACCCCTTTAAACACATTTTTCTATAGGCTGTGCGTTATTTTTTTATCAGCAATTTATCACGATTTGAAAGTTTTGGACAAAATTTAACAAAATCGGAAATGACCTTGATCTTCGTCTTAGGCCAAAATTTCGCATTACACCAGGTTAAAAGAGTATTAAATTGTCCTGAAACAATCATAGAAGCCTGAAAACAAACAATTTCAATCGTATGCAAATGATAAGAAATCGGTGCTTGTGGCAGTCTTATATCAGCTCAATCAGTCTGAATCATCCCTAAAATGCGGTGCACGTACGTGCTAAACGCCCAAGAATATTGACCAAAAGGCATCTGTGTGATGAGGCACTGTTTGGGATTTTTATAAGAAATGTCAGCCCCCTCCCCCCCTCCGCACACTTTCAACGGTTTGGAGAGATCCATGCAGTAGGTGTGGCAGCAGATGGGCCAATATCCCATTCAGGGGTACATGGTATCCAACAGTAAAAGATGTCTTGTAGTAATTAGAGCGAGTAGTGTTCTAACTTCATAGAGATTATTTTGTGTGAATTATCATTTTTAGGGTACATCATTTCCTCGACACTTTGCTTAAAATTCTGACGATATCCTTACATGAAATTTACGCAACATCGAACTGAAATATGCATCATTAACCATGAACTGAAGAAATTTGTTATTGTATTGTATTTGTTCCTTAAAACTTAAAATTTTTTAGGTGAACACTAGGCAGATTGGTTCAGTGTATGTAGTTAAATTTCATTTCTTTATTTTAGTTTTTTGTCCAATGCAGAGAATATACATGTAATCAACATCCTTGATTCATCAATATCCATCCTTTTCATTATGATCAATCTGCTCATCAAAGATAAATTTTTTGCCTCTCCAATCTATGTTTCAGTTGAGAAAATTTCAAAGTTGTGATATGATGCGGATTTAAAATTGCTTGATTCATGTAATCAACATCCTTGATTCATCAATATCCATCCTTTTCATTATGATCAATCTGCTCATTAAAAATAAATTTTTTGCCTCTCCAATCTATGTTTCAGTTGAGAAAATTTCAAAGTTGTGATATGATGCGGATATAAACTAAAATTACTTGTAAGTAGTTGATTTTCATCAACACTTGCAATCTTAATGTTTTGGTTTATTTTTAAGACAAATAAAATTAAACATGTATTCAATATTTTTAATCTTCTATAAAGGTTTGTTTAAGTTTAAACTACTTTTTAGAATTAAAGTGATTTCTCAACGCATAATTATTTTGTTCAAATTTTAAAATTAAATCACCTTGAAATGGTTGTGGACTCTTTGATGTGTCCGTATCAGCAGTTGGCAATTCTTTTTTAGCTACAAAATAATAGTTACAGAGTTACAGTACAACAAGGTAAACTATTTCTTTAAAAAAGAGCTCGAGCTTTCACAGAATCTCTTTCATTCTCTATTTCTGACCTCTTTGCTCTCTCTCTCTCTCTCATTCATTATGTATCTTTTTTTCTTTTTTTTTTTTTTGGTAGATAGATTATTGCAAAAATATGTTGAGTAGGAAATATAAAATATCAAAGACGGTAAATAGAGGAAATATATTGTGTCATTGAAAACTAAATAATGGAGGTTAAAACACTTCGAATCGAATACAAGTATCAAAAATTCCTAGAATTCTTCGTATACGAAAAGTAAATACATTTTATAAGCTACCAAATGGCCGTAAAACATTCATTTATATAACTTTGTAAACATTCAACCAGGACAATCCATTTTTATGACTATCCATTATCAATTGACTATTAATGCTATGTATGTTTTAAAGAAAATCGTTTACAACAATAAACTGTTATGATTTTAGAGAGGTATACATTTCCTGTCAGAACAAGCTGACCCCTTATTCGTATATGTAGAAGAATTTAAAATTCTATAGACAAAGATTTTTTTTTCAATTTCTACCTTGAAAAAATGGCTTTCATTAATCAAACAAAATCATTCAAAGTTTGAAAGAAATTTTAAAAAGGTAATTGATGAAGTTTGAGTCTCAACTGGCATCAATTTTCTTGGGTTTCCTGATTTTCACTGGACGATACGCAGCTAAAAGTTTTCAACAGGATTTTATATGTTCCTTTTTATTATGCATATTCTGACCTAAGCATACAATTTAAAATTTCACTTGCAATTGATTTAAGTCAGAACTTATTATGCCTACATTTATTATATTGTCCCAGCATCTTCTTGGGATGTCTCGGACACATTTAAATTTAATGAAACTTTTCAGAAATCAAAATCAGCGACTGTTACATGTATATGTCATTTTACTCCTTCAGTACGCTAGAGCATGGAATGAGTACTTTCAACATTAAAACAAAGAAAATATAATGACAAAATATTTAGGTTACCGATCCACAATCAAAGAAAAAAAAATTAATTCAAAATTTATTGTAACGACCTTGTTATATATATACGTTAGTTAATTTTAGAACTGTGAATTTAAAAAACATCCATGAAAGTAACATTTTTTTTTTAATTTTAAAATGATATTTTTTGTAAGAATGGAAGTTATCGCTTCGCTTTACATAACGATAAAATTTGGAATATACAGTGCTTTAAGCAGTTCCGGATTTTAAGCAGTTCCGAATGATTTTAATTAAATAATTAAAATTATGCAAACATAAATGTTTCTGTTTCTAATGATTCTTTACATAAATGAAGCTTTATGTATTGTCCATACTCTGGATGACATAACGAGATCAAGAACTCCGTCTTTCTTACCGTGTCTAGTTTTTTTACAACCGCAAGCGCTTAAGTGACGTTGACCGATATTAAACACGTGCTATCTTGAAAGTAAAGACGTGCTCTGAAACTGTGGTAAGGTATATATTTCATTTAAGATATGTGAATAAAACATTGATGTATCTTCTATCTCATGAAATTTCGGTTTCGTTAAAATACGACGTAAATCCAAAATAAAGAGCAAAATTCACAACATCCCATTTTAAGCAGTTCCGAATTAACCATATACGGGGTTGTCTCAAAAGAGCTGGTAAAACAAACAAGAAAATAGTAAACAAAAAGTCAGAAACATGAATTCATTTTACATTCAGAGTTTTATGATAAATTATGTTGATATGAAAAGACCGAGAAAGTATTATTAATTTCAAAGTCATGGCTTCAAGTATCTTTCTCCTCCCCCATCTAGCTTTTCTCTCTCTCTCTCTCTCTCTCACATGCTTTTACAGAAGATACTACAAATTGAAAGATTCTTAGAAGAAAATACATATAAACAAATTAATAAAATTGAATCGAGAAACTTTAAAGAATGAACAATCTCATTAAATATTATACAATGTAGAGTGTATTTTTTTTCAGTGTTTGCTATATCTAATATGTCTCTGAGTCCAAAGAAACTAAAAGTAGTCATGGGAAGAAAAAAGAAGAAAATGTCCGAAATCGAAGGAAAGCAAGAACTTTATGAAACCACCAAAGACCCCAAAAGAGGGTTGCAGCTAATTACAATGTGTGTAGCAGGCCCTCTGATAGGTCATGTGCTGAAAGGTTTATCAAATTCTTTTTAGACAATTCTGCATTAAAATGGAGAGTTTTTTGCAGAGGTTAATAATGTGTATTACACGTTACATGTATAGTGTTTGTCATGTTCATCATCTGTCCTTCTGTCTGTCAATCTGTGACACTTTGTGTTAAGCCCAGTTTCAAAGATATTTTTATCAAACTTCATTTGCTGACACATATAGTGAGAGGTATTCAACTGATTAAAGATTTGTTTTTACCTTGACCTCACTTTTCTCAAATTTGCAGCTTGCTTTAACTTTCAAACCAAAAAAGCTATTCAAGATTTTTTTTATAACTTATACATGTTATACATAATTTTAAATTTGGTAAGAATTTATCATCAGTGTGCAATTTTATTTAAAACTGACTTTCCCTATGGCTTTCAACTTCCTCATCTACTGTGTATAAAACTGAGTTATTTTGAAAGTACACGTACTCAAGTTTAACCTTTTCTTCAAACTTAACACACTATATAAAGCAAAGTTTCATGTGTATTCAAATACAATTAAGTGAACTGGTGAATATATTATATGAACTGGGCATTTATGTCCTATGGACATATTTCTAGTTTTTTGTATGAAATGAACAACAATTCTTTGATTCATTATATTTTTCATTTTGATGATTTTTTTTCTAGTCTTTTCCAATGCAATTTTCTGATTTTTATTGTACCAAAATATGTTTTTTTTTATCATTCTTTTAAATATTTGATAGTTTATTTTATCGTTAATAAAGTTGTTGAAACATGATCTTTTCTTCCTTATATATGATATAATTGATATTTCATTTTCGAGCTCAAGTCGTAAAAAAGGGGGGAAAAATATGATTGTCCCTTATTAACTTAAAGATTTGATCGTTAAAAATGAATTCTGTTGTTACAACTATAAATAACAACGATATATGGCGAAAACCGGAACTACTTGAAATCGTCTAAACTGCTTGAACTCCAACATATTTTAATTGGAAAACTTCGATTATAAAGTATAACGCTTTAAACAAAATATTAATGTGGCTTGAAAGAGTAAATAAAGGACTATTTATTTCAATGTAGAAATCAAACACAGGTCCTGCATAAATAATTTACCGAGTGTTTTTCCCGTTACGATCCGGAACTGCTTAAATCAATTAGTTTAAAACTTACATGTGCGTACGCATTTGATGTACCTTCAAATGCGTACGCACATGTGAGTTTTAAATCTCATGAAATTGTTTTTAGTCATAATAAAGTGACTGAACTAATTTTTTCCTTTTACAGTAGAATACAATTACCGAATATAGAAATATAATTTTTTTTATGAAAAATCGAAATAAAATTGCGTTATGCTCTTGCATTTATGTGTACATGTAGAGTTATGTGGGACAAAATGATAATTTTGGTATTACTTAATGTAGCATCTTTCTGGTAAAGAAAACCACACTGTATTATTCAGCATAAAGCATTAAATGAGGAGGAGTTTTTTGATAATTTACTTATCAACAATTTTCTCTCCTTAGACAATATTCTAAATACTTATGTCATATGACTGTAAATTATCAAAACCTAGTTTACTATGGTACGATTTTTTACGTATTGAATCAAAGACCATGTAATTTTCAGTTCTGGGTAATATATTGATTTGTATTTTGATGATTCGTACTCATAAAAACGATGTCACATATTAAAAACAACGTTAACGCTTTTTTAAGAATTAATTTAAAGTTTAAATGCTATTATGATATTATCTCATCCCCCGATTTATTCCGTATTGTCTTTTCTCCAGAATCGGGTTCAGTTAAACAAACAATTAAAAGTTTACCCTGACATGTTAATAATGCAAGAAAGCAGATTTATAGCATAAGAATATAAATATACAATTTCCACTCACATGGTTGACATGTTCCGTTTGCAAAATAATTTTCATCCATACAGACACACATGTTCCTTCTACAAACACTTGAGTTTGCAGTTCCATTACACTGTTCATCATACAAACAGGTTTGATTGACTTCTAAATCAGCTATTGTAAATAAATTATGAGTTATGTGTCCATTTTCGATATTACAGTTAAGCAATATAGTAATAACATTAAGTTGTACATTACGTCACAAATTTTTGAGTCATTTTAGTTTTTACACTGCACTGAGGGACAACCATTATGAAATAGGCAAATTCAAATAGTTTATATTGACCTTTTTTAAATATATAAAAACGATTGAACAATATATTAGAAATAACCAACATAATAAACGCAACAAATATATGATGTAACCAGAAGTCTCTGTCGAGACTGTAGCTCTACTGGTTTGTACTTATCAAAAACCATTGCACTATTTTATGTATCTTTGTGTAGTCTAGTTGTGTGCCAACTTATTTTGAAATCAAACTAAAACTGTAGAAGGAGAAGCGTTTTAAAGGAATTTCACAGAAAATTCTATTTTTAGTAACCATGGTAACACCGTTCATTGAAATCAAAAACCGATGCACTATTCTATGTATCTTAGTGTAGTCTACTTGTGTGCAAAATTATACTGAAACAGACCAAAACTGTAGAAGGAGTAGCGTTTTAAAGGAATTTCACAGAAAATTCTATTTTTAGTAACCATGGCAACACCGTTCATCGAAATCGAAAACCGATGCACTATTCTATGTATCTTAGTGTAGTCTACTTGTGTGCCAAGTTATATTGAAATCAGACCAAAACTGTAGAAGGAGTAGCGTTTTAAAGGAATTTCACAGAAAATTCTATTTTTTGTAACCATGGCAACACCATTCTTTGAAATTAAAAAACCGATGCACTATTCTATGTATCTAAGTGTAGTCTACTTGTGTCCCAATTTATATTGAAATCAGACCAAAACTGTGGGAGGAGTAGTGTTTTTAAAGAATTTCACAGAAAATTCTATTTTTTGTAACCATGGCAACACCGTTCATCGAAATCAAAAACTGATGCACTATTCTGTGTATCTTAGTGTAGTCTACTTGTGTGCCAAGTTATATTAAAATCAGACCAAAACTGAAGAAGGAGTAGTGTTTTAAAGGAATTTCACAGAAAATTCTATTTTTAGTAACCATGGCAACACCGTTCATCGAAATCGAAAACCGATGCACTATTCTATGTATCTTAGTGTAGGGCCTAGTCTACTTGTGTGCCAAGTTATATTGAAATCAGACCAAAATTGTAGAAGGAGTAGCGTTTTAAAGGAATTTCACAGAAAATTCTATTTCAAGTAACCATGGCAACACCATTCTTTGAAATTAAAAAACCGATGCACTATTCTATGTATCTTAGTGTAGTCTACTTGTGTCCAAATTTATATTGAAATCAGACCAAAACTGTGGAAGGAGTAGCGTTTTAAAGGAATTTCACAGAAAATTCTATTTTTTGTAACCATGGCAACACCGTTCATCAAAATCAAAAACTGATGCACTATTCTGTGTATCTTAGTGTAGTCTACTTGTGTGCCAAGTTATATTGAAATCAGACCAAAACTGTAGAAGGAGTAGCGTTTTAAAGAATTTCACAGAAAATTCTATTTTTTAGTAACCATGGCAACACCGTTCATCGAAATCAAAAACTGATGCACTATTCTATGTATCTTAGTGTAGTCTACTTGTGTGCCGAGTTATATTGAAATCAGATCAAAACTGTAGAAGGAGTAGCGTTTTTAAGGAATTTTACAGAAAATTCTATTTTTAGTAACCATGGCAACACCGTTCATCGAAATTAAAAACCGATGCACTATTCTATATATATTAGTGTAGTCTACTTGGGTGCCAAGTAATATTGAAATAAGACTAAAACTGTAGGAGGAGTAGCGTTTTGAAAAATTGTTTACAGACAGACGGACAGACAGACAGACAGACAGACGGACGGACGCCGGACGCATTACTATCGCATAAGCTCTTCTGGTCTCTGACCAGTAGAGCTAGAAATTAACTATTCTGTTCCCTTACTTTGTAAGCAATGTCCTTCAATATCTATAAATCCTTTGACACATAAACATGTAGAAGTGGTTTCGTCACATACTGTATTGTATCCTGCGTTGCTGCATTGAAAATCAAATACACAGGGTTCGCCGATCCTAACATCAACTATGATAAAAGCAAAACACTGGAATAAGGGCATAACTACTATCTTATTTTACAATACTCAATCCAGTACATGTTACATAAAAATGTCATTTATAAGTGAGGTCTTTGAAAACTTGGAACTATTTTTTTTTTAATCCGTACAGATTAAAAATATTAATTTTGTAAATATGTTTATAAAATTCCTTGTCGCTTTTTTTCAACTGAAAAACAATAATATACTGAAAAAAAGAGAAAAGAAAAAATTAATGCTAATTTTATGTTTCAGTTTACCTTTTCTGCAAATGCTATTAATTCGCATGTTGTCATGATCATTTTCGCAGACGCAAGTACCAATCTCCCCTAGGTCTCCGTAATTGTCCTTCAAACATTTTTCATTTTCACCACACCAACTGTTTTGTATGCAGCCTCCTAGTTCGAATAGATATAAAATCTAAATAAGTAAACTATTTAAATAAGAGAAATAGAGACCACACCGATATATACAAACAATGTATCAATGGATATCTGGTATGCGTATGTAATTGAGTTATTATTTTGATTTATTGTTTTTATATTAATTTATGAAGATGTTTTTTTATATAAAAAAAATTATCATGAGGTAGAAAATCTTTTGACATTTTTTGTATATAGTGTTTTTTTTTTTATTTTAATATGTACTTAGTATTATTTTACCAGAGGCATCTGATGAGACTGTAGCTCTACTGGTCTGTACGTATAACAAAGGAAAAGTAGCACTTGGACTTAACGCTTTGCAACAGGCAGCAATAAAAGTAGTCTGTGTGCCAAATTACTTTGTTATCAGACCAAAATTGTCAAAACCGATGCACAGAATTATGCATCTTAGTTAAGTCTACTTGTGAGCCAAGTTATATATAGAAATCTGACCAAAACTTTAGGGGGAGTAAAACGTTTAGAAGAATTTCACAGAAATATGAATTTTAAGTTTTACTTAAAATATTTTACTTACATTGGATTGCTCTGTGTCTTGGTAATGGGAACATTTATAAACGCCCAATGAAAATTGTGCACGGTAAAATTTCTGGACCCGGTCGTCCAGATAGCGTCACTTTTCAGTTTCTTTTAGGACGACGTGAAAAGTACATGTATGTTGGATAGCTTCATTTTTTTTTAAGCCGCCTCCACCTTGCCACCTTTTCCATTTCTTTGGATGTTTAATTCTGTCTATTTCTTCTTTTCTCTTCAAGAATGTTTGATATATTATGTAATCAAATAGGGAATATATCATGTAATCACGGTTTACTTATTAATCATGTTCATAATTCGTTTTCATTCTGGTGTGAATTTTTGATACAGATACTAAGTTGTTTATTAATAATTTTATGGATTTCATGATCCAATATTACATAATAATTACAAGTATTTTCTATTATTAAAGTCACATTAGTGGCAAAGTGTAACATACTGTACCTAAATGTCTTGTTGTTTATGAGAATGGAGAGTGAAGGCGGTTTCTTGCAATTCCGCGATAGTACAATAAATGTGAGTTGGGGTCACGACAGTACTCGAAAATGTTAATGAACGAGAAGTTCCACAAATAAGTTATTATGTCAAAATGAATTTTGCATTGGCAATTGTACATAAATCTATTTCTACAAGGGGTTATCAAAACGTTCGTGGACTGAGGCTATAAAATTAGTACTATGTAGTCTGTGCTTTCAAAATTAATGTGGAACATAAAAGAACAAAAAGTAAAGAAATGTTGAAAATTTTAGCCTGATACGTTCATTATTTGCCAAATTATTATAAAATAAAAACGACACTGTATGATCACCCGGCGCTGTCGTCGTTTATTTTCATGACGTCCGACAACGTCATTGTTTTTTTTTTTTTTTTCGATGCCTGCCTCTTCTACTTCATACACTTATTTAGATAAAACTCCCTGGAGCTGAGTAAGAATTAGAGCCCTCCTTATTTATATGACTTTACAATGTCATGAACAGCGGCTTTCAATGAATATAATATTTCAAATGGATTTATACACTGGGAGAGATCCTCGCTTGATTGATCCAGCATATTTTGCTTTTTGGAGTTCAGTATCTACAACAGATGATCAACGTCATTTTTTGGCGTGACTGATTTTTCACACCTTGACTACAAATCGACAAAAACTGTGCATCCTTTTTCACACTGAATCTATTTTGACATTACAACAATACTCTTGATGCATATTATTTCTCTGTAGCCAATTTAAACATTTTCTAGGCCTATACCAGTTTTTTCAGGGGCAAAACTTTATACAATGTTGGAAAAGGGAACCCCTCCCCCTTTTGACGTCATTTTCAAGGACTCATTTGTTTGGACATTCTATGTAAAATATGCGATAAAATTTCATAAAAATTCCAGAATGAAGTGAAAAGAACTATATGCGGTATTAACCAACATTTGCCCCCCAAATTCAAACTTTGATGGAGTAATATTTAATTAAGTCCTTAAACAGGGGAGTATATGCTGACTTCAAAGCAGTGAATAATTTCATAAGTAATGACGTCATATGTACGTAATGACGTCACAAATATGACGTAAATTTCAGTTTTTTACGAATTTTGCAGAAAAATGTACATATTTCGTCGACATTTTAAATAAAAGTCACCGAGCGCATGTGTGTTCAGGATAAATATTTTGATATAATGTGTAGAATGATAATATCAATGAAATATGTCAATATTGTTCCTGAACACACATGCGCTCTATAAATTTTAAAGCTTAAATTGTTGAAATTTTGTCCATTTTGTCCTCTTTCTGAAAAAAGGATATAAAATCGGACTAGTTTGTGACGTCATAAAAACAGAACTTGTGAATACACTGCTTTGGAACTATAATATTTTCTGTTAACTTATATTTCTCGTACAATTTATTGAATTCAGCACATTTCAGGAAGTTTTCAAAATTTGACTTTTGTGGGGGCAAACATATGCAATATACCGCATATAGTTCTTTCATATTTTATGGAACAATTGTGTCCCATACCTGAAATTACGAGATTTTTGGATGTCAAATATTCATAATAAAAGAGTCTTTCTCAGTTACTCAGAGGTCGGAAAAACGTCGGGTCTGAGGTTGCGCCGCTTGGACATACCATTGCTTACAAAAAACATTACTTATTTATCAAAAGATAAAATCTATGATTTATCGTTTATTCTTTAGATAGAAAAGTTGATGCTAACTAGATATTTTGAAATTCATTGATGTACCTAAAGCGGTTTTTATTTTATGGCGCTAGTCCACGAACGTTTTGATAACTCCACGTAGTAACCAATACTACACCGTTCAACGAAATCAAAAAACGATGCACTAAGTTATGTATATAAGTGTGGTCTACTTCTGTGCCAAATTATATTGAAATCAGACCAACACTGGAGGAAAAGTAGCATTTCGAAACATCGTTTACAGACAGACGGAGAGCTAGACAGACAAACAAACAGAAAGACGTCGAATATATAAGTTCTTCTGGTCTCAGACCAGTAGAGCTAAACAGAATCATTTTGATTCTTGCAGCTTTGCATGTACTGTGATGAAATCTAAATCTCTAATTTATAGTATTATAGGAAGTATATTGAACAGTTACATGTTATATGTTTTTCACGGGATTTTATTTTGAAAAGCAAAGCGATGTACAGTAAAGGTAGTGGTGTTTTCATTTTATTATTTTTTTTTGAAAAACAATAAATATATTGGTCTTACCGTGTACATCGATAAAAAGATTCCTCTTTTTATCAGAAGAACCACTACAATCAAAACCTATTGTCCAGTTCCCGATTCTTCCATTTGATGCGTTGTAAATCTTAATATATGCCTTTTTAAACTGATCTTCATTTGAATTATACCCAAAGGAAACTTTACAAAATATTTGTGTTGTACACAATGCTGTACCTGACTCTTCTGCAAGTAAAGAGTAACATTCCGTATAAGAAAAAAAAAGAAACAATGACACTGTCTGTGTATGCAGGGTAAGGGTTCCATGTAGGGTGTGGTTGTGAGAGAATATTTATGCGGAGACATTGTTTTAAACAATATAAACAAATGGTAATTGCAAACTATCAATTGCCATATTTCAATAATGTAACTTTTTATATCAAGCAAACAATAATTCAGTGCATGTAAAACTAATAAAACGGCTGACAAATGCATACAGTTACATGGAGCAGTTACAGGTATTGCACTGACTATAGTTCGTAGATTTAACAGGTCGAGACCACTACCTTATATGGAAGGCAGTTTTCAACATGTGACGATGTCTTCGTCAAGCCCGTTCTCCAATCAAGTGAAAGAGTCCCAAAGCATAACAGTCTACCACGTGTTCACGATTTAATGGCTACACGTGGTTTTCGTCGGTTTGCTGCACAAAATTTAACTCGTCACCGGAAAAACTGTAGAACTTCTTTATAACTTTATTAGACCGAAATTGAAAGATTATATTCTGAAGACACTGCTCCATGCTCACATTTAATATTGGAGTTGTTTTAGATGATTAACAGTTGCTTCGAATATCGTACAAACGCTTTGAATTTTGCATATACGTAAAACACTTTCTGATAATATTGAGGGGTTAAATAATAATTGCGCACTTTCTCCTGCTGTCTAAAAACAAGGACCTATATACTACCTGGTAAAACTATGTACACGTATATCACGTGAAAAAAAACTCAATGTTTTATCGACACGATAGCACTTATACGTCTCTTTGAACAAAGGTATACTAGGCCGAGGTATCATAAGTCGAAATAAGGCTTTATAAAGCAAATTTTGTAAATGTGAGCATAAAATTGAAAGATTATGCATCATTTTAAATATTTCTTTCACAAAGAACTATATGCGGTATATTGCATATATTTGCCCCCACAAAAGTCAAATTTTGGAAACTTCCTGAAATGTGCTGAATTCAATAAATTGTATGAGAAATATAAATTAACAGAAAATATTATATTGTCAAAGCATTGTATTCACAATGTTTGATTTAATGACGTCACGAACTAGTCCGATTTTA